AGAAAACAATTCGCTTCGAGAAAGCTTTAACGCTTAAGACTGAATGAATGAAAACAATAGAACGAGTACACTGAGCGAAAGCGACGGAATGTACACCTGACGTTGTCTGTTTAACTTCCGCCTCTAAGAACGCCCTTCATATTACTGATTATATCAACGAAAAAACATGTCTACAGTGATCCCGTTATTCGGCGAGTTCTTCAATTGGAAATAGGCGTCTCTTAAGATTCGCCCTAACTCCTTTAGGATCTCGCATCTTCCGTGGTATTCTTTATCTTGAAATATGTTTCCTCTTTGGGATGATAAAAGTTGCTTTCGCCTTGTTAGCTTCCGTTGTCTGAATGCATAACTGTGAGTCACTTAATACAATATTTACATGTTTAAGCCTCTCTCGTGAAACGATTAAAAAAATTCAAATGGCAAAACTTAGAGCGGTCCATACCCGAGGCCTCTCCTGGATCGCTGAAAAGCGTGGAATTAGTCAATCAGATTCGAAGATATTTACGATTCCGGACCAATGAGATGCTCGAGAAAAAAAAAATTACTTATTGAGTTTGGTCGGGCCGGACGGAAAGATATTTGGGTCGAACCACATGACCAATGGTCAAAACATTTTCTCGTTCGGGCAAACTAAACTCAGTCATTAGGCAGTTTATCATATGACCACTAAGTGCTGAAAATTTCACGAATTTATTTCAAACTGAATAAGAAGCAACAGAAGGGCGCACGCGGGACAACCTCTCATACATAAAATATTCTGCAATAAAAACCTCTCCTTTGCCACTTTCGATTCACAATTTCCCAATCACCTTTACCCTCGTTTTAAAAACGAGGCCTGATGCTTGACCATTCGTATGAAAATGAGTTAAATTTGAATGTATGTGAAAACTTATTGTCGTATGAAAGGATAAGCGCAAGGACTCATTTTGAAAATGAGGCTAAAGGTAATTCGGAAATGGCCTATTCATCGAAAAACCTGTCTCTTTTGTACTCTTTTGTTTTTCCCTATAAGTTTTTGCAACAAAGCCCTGTCTGTGCAGGGTATCCGCAGCCCTCCACACACCCGCTTTGATTATTTTTCCTTTGGGATTGCGCGCGCGAGGCCGAACAGGTCACAAGATAGAAAGGGTTTTTATTTGGAAAAAGTGCTTATTGGTGACAATTTTGAAAAAAAATTCGAACCGCTGACTGCCGATCTGTGGAAACAATGTAGGACATTTCTACAATGTAGGCTGACACAATACAGACTCGCACAAGGGAATCTTAGCAAACAAATTCAAGCGTATTCTTTTTCTTTTCTTTTTTTTTCTTTCTATTCAGGAATGGATAGAGAGACTATGGTAACATCAAATTTCGTTGACGAAAAGGAAGCGGCTTCCTATTCAAAGGCTACTGCCACACTGATGTTCGTATTGTGCTTCATATTAATTTTCTGTTCAGTTTAGGACTGTTCACCAACTAAACTTGAATGTAAAAATAATATTAATAATTAGAAAAAGAGCCTAAAATTGTGCGCAAATTATTGGTAAAGAAAATGGTTTTAACTGACGCACTTCTGTTTTGACGAATCATATGCCATTATATGATCGATCCGGAATTCCATACTTGCTTTTTTGTTCTTGTACAGTATCGAAGAAACAAGTTCTACTTGGCTTTAGGCCGCCCTAGCCGAGAACTACTCAAGAAACGCTGCAAAATAATGATTATGAGTCATTTGAATAATGAAAATAATAATTACTTCTGGGCGTATTGCAACTTTACCCATAAAAAAGTCACTTTTTTTTCCTTTTTGCACGTCCCTCGATTCATCTCGGTTACTTGGTTAAATTAGGTGACAATTCGTGCAAAGATCGCTTAAAAATTCGCTTAAGAGGCATTTTCTACGAATTTTCACTGGACCTAGTTTCCAGCCGCTTTATTTTAATTCATTTTATAAAGACGTGGACTTTGTTTTCATCTCTTGAAATATTCTGAGGTCAATGATTAGAAAAAAAGTTGATTATTACCATTTTTACATAGATTCATCGGTGGAGACCAATGGTTTGGAAAATGTCATTAAAATTCTGAAAAAAAAAAAAACGAAGTATTATGGAAGGCATAAAAATTTAGTTAGAGAGCTACTACGCTCTAACCTTTTTTGTGTGGTTCCCTTTAATGCTTTGCTTTCGTCCTCGGGACCTTTACGAAAATCATGGAATGAATAACAGGTTGTATGCGAATTTTTTTATCAGTAGAAGATTTGAGGAAATTGCCATAAATGAAGATATATCTCACCGATAAAATGAGAATCAAATAAAAGATGTTTAAAAGTTCAAAATAATTTATCGATCGACTGTTTTTCGACCTTAATTTTTAGATATCGTAGACTTATGTTCTAAAATACTCTAGGGAACTTTAAAAGTGTTCCTTTATTTATTTTGCGTTGTTGAGTCATGAGCTAAGCCACGCAAGCCAAACTGAAACTGATCTTTAATTATAATATGATGAAATGATATAGAATGTCCCAGGCTGTTAAGAATATCTAAATAAGCATAGCTCATATTTAGTTGCTGTTGCTATCACTGGCCTTTTCCAGGCGTTCATTTTCTTCGAGTCAGTAGTGGAACCACTTATTCTGAAAGAGGAATCGAGAGACAAAATGAATGCAATCACCTGTCGCATACAGGTATATGTCGGAACGGGGAACACCGTGCGGATCTTTGCGTTGGACTATAGAAAAGCCTTCGATCTGATAGATCACAGCCTCTTGCTATCGAAACTCTCGACCTACAATATCAACCCTTACATCATTAATTGGATAATAGCCTTTCTTAAAGATAGGAAACAAAGGGTCAAACTTGCACATGATTGTCTCTCAGAGTGGGGATCGGTCCGAGCAGGAGTACCGCAGGGAACAAAATTGGGACCGTGGCTATTCTTGGTTATGATAAATGATTTGAAAGTACCATCAGCCAGTGATTGTATAAAATATGTAGATGACACGACAGTGTATGAAATCATAAGCAAGGGTGGTCCTAGCAATGCTCAGTCTATGATAAACGAAGTAGCTACCTGGTCAACACTTAACTCGTTTCAACTTCATCCGAAAAAATGTAATGAGCTAAGAGTTTCCTTCGTGCGCTCCCCTCCTTCCTACGATCTCATAGAAATTAATGGCTCTAAGGTTAGCGCCGTTAGTGTCGTGAAATTACTGGGTGTGTATTTTCAAGACAACCTCAAGTGGAACACTCACGTTACTGAGATGATTAAAAAGGCCGCTAAGCGCCTTTACTTTTTAACTCAGTTAAAGCGAGCCAAGGTACCATCACCAGAATTAGTGAATTTTTATGTTGCTTGCATTCAATCCGTCTTACTTTATGGATGTCAGGTCTACCATTATAGTCTCCCCGATTATTTGAGCTTAAGTTTAGAGCGTGTCCAAAAGAGAGCCTTGAAAATTATATACGGTTATGATACTCATTATAGAGAAGTGCTTCAGATGGCAGAGCTGAAAACCCTAAGGGATCGGAGGGAAGACCTTTGCTTAAAATTCTTTTACAACATCGTCTCCAATCCCTTGGATTGTTTGTACCACTTACTGCCTTTCGACAACCGAGATCAACTTATGGAGTTACGACGACGCAGACCATTTAGAGTTTCCTTCAAAACAAATCGGTTCAGAGATACTTTCATTCCAGCAAGCGCAAGACATTTTAATTGACATCTATTACAATTGTATATGGGCCCATATGTAAATTAGTTCCCTTTTAGGTTTGATTTTATTGTATAGTTCTATTATATAATTTGTACACCTTTGTAATTCAGCTTCCAGCTGCTATTAATGTATTCTTAATAAACGTCTATCTATCTATCTACATAACAACTTTAATTGTTACTACGGTAATGTTTTGCAATCCAATAATGACTCAACAAGAAAATTAACTTACCTTGCTGAATGGTTTATTAAGCAAACAATGTAAAAAGGTTTCTGTAGCTTTATGCTTTGCGCTTATGAGATGATTGAACATTTTCATTCAGTACCAAACCGTATTGTAGAACAAAACAAAGAAAAAGTATAGTTTTTAAAAACAAAACAAAAACAAAACCTTGGGTAAAATAACATGTTATTGGTAACCATAGATTCATCCAAAGGAAGTCTTCAAACTGCTTCCTGACTGAGTAGCATCTGCGCTGCAATCTTTCGTACGTACGTGATCACAATTCTGACAAGTCCCGTGATCACAGCATTGGCATAAGCACTTCATTATCTGTCAATAGCTTTCACAGAGGGTTTTCCTTTGTCAAAAATTGATATTATTACCGTTTCTTTTGAAACAATGGTCACAGAGAGTATAAATTTGTCGCTGTTATACGATGCCATATCTAAAATGTCGTTTATTGATTTCATAAACAGGTTACTGAGACAAACAGTATTGTTCAGTAGCAAACTTCCGCTTTAAAACAAGAGATAATTTGCACACAAAATGCCTCCCGTCGGAGTAATATTTGAGTTGTTTTTGATCTTTTGAGAAACATTTCCACCCTTTGACAGGTGTGACTTGTAGAGAAGAAAAATTCAAAAACTTTTAGAATAACTGCATCTGTAACCCTCATTCATTTTGAAATTGGACTTTTCATCCCAATTTGCTTAAGTTATGTCGTCCCAAGATCATGTGAATTCATTATTCACGCTATTATGGCGGCGAGTCCGATCCAAACAACACGTCGGCCGATGTGTTGGTCAAAGCGTATCCTATCACTGAGGGTTTAATTAAATGACGAAGTTTTTTTCAATTGTATTGTGAAGTTTTGCTTTCCCCCTTATTGCTAATTCAAATTCCCGCAGAAAAAGCGGCCTTTTTTTCTACTTGGTTTAACAAACCTTACAGATTTCGGGTATTTTACATTTTTGCTCTGTTATTGCCATTCAAAAACTAAGTTTTAAGTTATCTTGACTTGGGGGGTGCTGTTAAGGCGAAATATTACTGGTTATTACTAACTTAAGGATAACTTGCAAAAGAATGGAAACAACAATGATGGCAACAACGAATACAACGGGAAGTGGTTCACAGACGAAACTTTTTGAAGGATGGCAATGCTCCCCGGTTTGGGTAGGTGAGTTGAAACAACAGTCCATTACATTCTCAGCAGTCAACATTCTCCTCTCCATTACAGCAATCCTTGGTAATTCTCTCATCGTTGTTGCCCTTCGCAAGGAGTCTTCCCTCCATCCGCCATCCAAACTCTTGTATCGTTGTCTAGCAACAACTGATCTGTTGGTTGGTCTTGTTAATCATCCTTTCTACGCCACCTATTGGATGTCCGTAGTCTACGAACACTGGAGTCTTTGTCGATGCGCACTGGGCGCAATGAGCATAACAGGCTCTATACTGTGTGGAGTTTCTTTGTATACAATGGCAGCCATAAGCGTGGACCCACTTCTCGCCATGTTGCTGAGGTTGAGATACAAAGAGATTGTAACTTTAAGGCGCACATATATTATTTTAGCTATCGCTTGGGTTCTATGTCCAGTGGGCAGTTTATTATTTCATCTCAAGTACCGTATTGGCCTTTGGTACAGCTTTATAGCTACACTATCTTGCCTGGCAATCTCTATCGCCTCGTACACAAAGATTTTTCGCGCGCTCAGTCATCATCAAGCTCAAATACAAGATCATGCTCAACAACAACCGAGCCAATCAAATGCGCTGAACATGGCGCGATACAGAAAGGCACTGTACAGTGCACTGTGGGTGCAATTAGCTTTAGTCGCCTGTTATGTACCACTTTTTACGGTGGAATTTGTGATCCCTCTTAGTAAAGAGCGATTTCCGAATTTCATCATACTCCAGGGAATGACAGTTGTCTTAGCATTCTTTAACTCTACTTTAAACCCGTTCCTTTACTGCTGGAAGATAAGAGAAGTGAGACGAGCTGTAAAGCAGACAATCAGACAAGCAATCTGCTATACATAAAGGCAAACTTGTTTAATCGTTGGCATATGAATTTTCGTCTGTAGCTTATTTGAAAAATTATAGACGTAAGGACAGAGGGGAAGATATGCAATTTCGCGTTAAAAAGAGTTAGGAAAACTAAGAAGAGCTACCTGTAAATACTGTATTGTATTGACTTATCTAACAAACAACAAACAGGTGAAAATGTGAAGTTCAGCAAATCAATAACATGTCACCAATTTGTACATTTCTAATGAAGTAGGGAAGGCTATCAGTTATTTTGGAATCAGCAGAACGTGCTCAGGATTTTTCTTTGCGATCAAAACTCGAAGAGAAATCTCACCTTAGCTCAGGAATATGGTTTAGTGTTAAGGAGCTGTTAACGGAGCTGGCCACTCAATTTTGTCATGATTGGGAATTAGCCATAGTGTTTATAACAAAACTTTGTAAATTAAAGATGGGGCTTTCAAGTGTTAAGATCTGTTCAAATATACAGAAGGATATGCTCAGAAAAGAAGTTGATCATCTCTACTTCATATAGAGTTATCATTTGAGACCAATCGTTTACCTAAGATTAAGCTCGCAAATTAGAACAGAAAAAAATTGAATGATTAAATGATTAAAAAATAACTCTAACATGGTTGATAAGACAAGCTGTTTTTCAATGCGCTACCAACGTCAATTAAACTGTTTATCGAGTTGCCTCACGAGTCCACAACATTTTGACCACTGTGGTTACGAATATCGTTTTTCCCAATACCGATTAACGTTTTCGAGAAAGGCTTTTGCCCTTCAACTAAGATAATTCACGGCGTCTTAAGTTTGCGTTATACGAGAAAACAGGGCTCAATTTGTTCATAACATAACTTTGTAAATATGTAGACTTTGTTTACTTTGAAGACAATTCTTAGAAAATGAGTCGCTGAATTCTGACAAATCCTGAGATAACAGCATTGGCTAAGCACTTTTTCATCAATCAGTAGCTTTCAGTGAAGGTTCTCCTGAGTCAAGCACTGATGTTTTCACAATTTTCTTTTAAGTCCAAATTTTTGTCTATCATTGAACAGACGCTTAACAACACAGATTCTATTTGTTAACTAGATAGGACATGTTTGATAAGAATAGGTTATGAAATATAATATAGGCAATTACACCAAGTTAGAGCAGTCCTTACTGTGATCTAGCTGTCTTTGACTTGTTCGTGTTAGGATTCAAATGAGTAAGGGTTTCTGCCCCTGAGATGGAAAAAACGAAATGGAGTTGTCTGTGTAAGGATACCAAAGAGAGTTCTAGACATTGAAACATAGAGAAAACAATTCGCTTCGTGAAAGCTTTAGCGCTTGAGACTGAATGAATGAAAACAATAGAACGAGTACACCGAGCGAAAGCGACGGAATGTACATCTGACGTTGTCTTTTTAACTTCCACCTCTAAGAACGCCCTTCATATTACTGACTATATCAACGAAAAAACATGTCTACAGTGATCACGTCATTCGGCGAGTTCTTCGATTGGAAATAGGCGTCTCTTAAGATTCGCCCTAGCTCCTTTAGGATCTCGCATCTTCCGTGGCATTCTTTATTTTGAAATACGTTTTCCTCATCGGGATAATAAAATTTGCTTTCGCCTTGCTAGCTTCCGTTTTCTGAATGCATAACTGTGAGTCACTTATACAACATTTACATGTTTAAGCCTCTCTCGTGAAACGATTAAAAATTCAAATGGCAAAACTCAGAGAGGTCCATACCCGGAGCCTCTCCCGGATCGCTGGGAAGCGTGGAATTAGCCAATCAAATTCGAGGATATTTAGGATTCCGGACCGATGAGATGCTTGAGAAAAAAAAAATGTACTTATTGAGTTTGGTCGGGCCGGACGGAAAAATATTGGGGTCGAGCGACATGACTATTAGTCAAAATATTTTCCCGTTCGGGCCAGCTAAACTCAGTTATTAGGTAGTTTATCATATGACTACTAAGTGCTGAAAATTTCGACAATTTTGTTTCAAAGTGAATAGGAATCAATAGACGGGCGCACGCAGGACAACCTCTCATACATAAAATATTCTGCAATAAAAACTTTTCCTTTACCACGAGAAACACAAATAAAACATTTGAACGTCACAAGACAGAACTATCCAAAAGGCCTTAAAAGCCCAAACAGAAAAAATAAAAAATAAAAATAACAAATAACAAATAAAAAAAAACGATCAGTGAAAAAGCAGATAATCCATAAGAGCTAGGAAAACAAAGTTAAGAGAAGAAACGATAACAACAGGGAAAAATATCACGGGGAACGATGAAATAAGAAGCGCGAAGTATGATCTAAGTGCCCAACGTCACCATTTGCGTTATGTGTATGCGCCGCATTTTTTTTTTCTTGTCTGTTTTGATTTCCTCGCTTGATGAAAACAGAAAAACTTAAGAATCCCTATTGTTCATTCTGATCTTTGGCTTATTCAGGAAAGCCACGCAGACCACCGAAGCGAACTTTTCACATTTGACGAGTACTTCCCATCGTAACGAAATGGAAATGAAAGTTCGGAGTACGAGACGCAATTCTTCCCCAATATGTCTACGAAACTTGACGACAAAAATTGCTTCAAAAACGCTGCGCGTCGTGAATCCACAGGATGACGAATATCGTTGTCGATAAGAGTAAATAACTGTCGGTTAGACAATTATTTAGTTTTGATTATATTATGGTGGAGATCTCAAACGTTTGGTTTTCTCATGCGTTTCCTTTGGGGATTAGAAACTTCCTTTTAAACAAAACACAAAAGGTAACTTGTGTTACTGAAGAAGTTGCAACAATTATTTCTTATAGTAGGCCTTTCATTTTCTGCGCAATCGATTATTTTCGCGGAAATCAGTCTACAAGCCTGAACGTAAAACATACCGTGATAAAACTGGAGTTTAACAAAATAAATGTAAGTAACTTTGAGGATGCATTAAACAATTCCTCCAAATCAGTGTCTTTTGGCCCAAGCATACCGCAATTCAAGTGCGACTCAGAGCAAACACTTTCGCTTCAACTCACCATTGTCGCAACAGCCGTTGCTTGTCCATGGATCATCTCTCTAAATATGTTAGTGATCTTAGCAATCAAGAAAGTAAGAGAGCTACAGAAAAACTCTAATATTCTTGATTGCCAATCTGGCTGTGACTTCTCTTTTAGTTGGGGCAGTTTCTATGCCTTTTTCAACTGGTGTGGATGCGTTTATTCTTCGAGGAACTGCGTCACATAGCACTATTTTTGTTCTGAATGAAATCGGTATATCTGTACTGATCACTTTGTTTAGTACCTCCTATCACCATTTATTGCTTAGCTTGGGAAAGGTACGTGGCGATAGTTAAATGGACAGAGTACAAAGTTTTAATCACAAAAGGACGCTTAAAGAAGTATACTGTAATTGCTTGGATGGACAGCGTCACAAAAGTGGCCTTATATCAAGCATTGGTTTTCGCGGAAGTTCCTCATGAGGTTCTCTTTGTGGTGGATCTTGCGATTAACCTCAGCTGGCTTACTGAAACGTTAACCTTGTTATAATTTTATCGCATGATTTACATATTTGTACAGAGACAAAACAAATGTCAAATCAGCCAATCAAGTGCTCTTATTAAAGCAACAATGGAAAGGAAACTTGCCTACACTGCGTTTCCGCAGTTAATAGCCGCTTTCATCTGTGGTGTTCCGATACTAGCAGTCATGACCTCGGTATCATACTCACCAGTTTTTCGCACGTATTCGGCTTTACGATGGGTATGTATCGTGGTTCAAATAAACTCTCTGGCGAACCCTATCCTCTATTTCTATGGAAACAAACGTTACAGGAAGGCTCTTCTACAAATGATAGGATAGGAGAAGACACAGGAAAGCGAGCGAATAGATCCCAAAGGGCGTGGTGCAAGGCGGAATTGTTGCACCGTGGAACTTGTGGACACCGAAGGAGCTCTAAGGCTCAAACGATCACACTCATTTTCAGAGGAGACTCTTGGACCGATGAACACGAGAGAGTCGAAAGCCACAACGATAGAAAGAAGAATATCGGCTCCATGTCTGACGATAACAAACAGCTTGCAAAGCGGAACACAGCCCTTCTCGCCAGACGGTATGATGCAGATAGAAAATAAACCATGATAGACCATCAGAATTTTTCCATCCTGTTAACCAAGCCAAGGGCTCACATCATCACGAAAGGATGAGGTCAAAGTCATTAAATGAAATGTCGTTCGAAATGAAGGCAAGTAAAGCTATTGAAAATGTCACGAAAGTTGAGTGTCAAAGAGACACCTCAGTGTCATCAGTTAAAAAGTCTCCAAATGAAAGGACACAAGAAGAGGAGTGTCTCAATGGGGTGATGGCTTTTTGTGGCTTACAGTTAAAATTTTGACCATTTTACGGCTGCAGTTAATTTCCTTGTCAGCACATTAAGAAATGTATGGAAAACAGGTATAACAGGTGTAAAAGCTGAATGATCTCCTGTCGGTACCAATATCTATTCGCAAAAATTAATTAAACTTTAAGCCTATTTTGATGGCAAAATTTAGTCACACGATTTAGATTCACTTGTAAAAAAGATACGCCATTTCTAACAAAATGTTGCTTACACACATTTTAAGCCTGGGATTCTGTCGAAATATCCCGCGCTTACGATTTTAAATTGACCCAGAGTTCATCCACACTTTTCTTCGCTTAGAGGCTCGGGGTGAGAGAGTTTGACCCACTTCTTACCATTTAGAAAGCTTGAATGCAAATTGGTATGTTTTCTTTTTCTTTTTCTTTTTTTTTTCTTTAGGAAGGGAAGGGCGACAGTAATTTTTTCTTCGTGGGGGCTGTTCCAATAGACCAAATCCAATACTTTATCCTTCATGGAGGCATTGGAATCTATAGTTCCATAGTTGCTTTCTTGTTCTTGTACAGTATCGAAGAAACAAGTTCTACGTGGCTTTAGGTCGCCCTGGCCGAGAATTACTCAAGAAACGCTATAAATAATGATTATAAGTCATCTGAATGATAAAAACAATAATTGTCTTTGGACGAATTGCAACTTTACCGTTTGTTTTTGTTTTTTGTTTTTGTTTTTGTTTTTTTTTTTTAACGTTCCTCTATTCATCTCGTTTACTCGGTTAAATTAGATGACAACTCGTGCAAAGATCGCTTAAATCACTTGTTCTATGCATAACAACTTCAATTGTTACTATGATAATGTTTTGCAATCAAATAATGACTCAACTAAAAGATTAACTTACCTTGCTGAATGTTTCATTAAGCAAACAATGTACAAAGGTTTCTGTAGCTTCATACTCTGCGCCAATGAATAAATTTAATAACAAATGATAAAAAATAACTCTAACATGGTTGATAAGACTAGCTGTTTTTCAGTACTTTACCAACGTCTATTAAACTGTTTATCGAGTTGCCTCATGAGTCCACAACATTTTGACCACTGTGATTACGAATATCGCTTTTCCCAATACCGATCAACGTTTTCGAAAAAGGTTTTTTTACCTTCAACTAAGATAATTCACGGCGTCTTAAGTTTGTGTTATATGAGAAAACAGGGTTTTTGTTGTCTTAGTTAAAATAATTGAAATACAAATGTAAAGTTCCTTCCCGCTAATTGCCGCTTGAAATTCGAAGAAAAACCCGGCCCCATTTTTCTTGTTCGTGTGATACACCAGACGGCTTGTTTGGGCGTTTTGCTTGGTCAAACGCTACTGATAAATTCTTCTTGTAATTATTATTCACAAAGTGAGGTTTGATTGATCTTTTCGTGGAGGTTCCTGTTATGACGGAATATTTCTTGTTCTTCCTATGGGTAATCTGCAAAAGAGTGGAAACAGCAAAAGGACGTTTCCATTGCTTTTTGGATACTGATGGTGTCGCAGGTTCATGCTACATTTTAGGTTACACCGATTAGATATGTGGCACGGCCGTATAATTATACAGCCTCTCTATGCTACCAATTGGATGTCCGTGGTTCACGAACACCAGAGTCTTTGCTGATACTCATTTTACGCAACCGGCGAAACAGGCTATGTGTTATATTCAGCGTCTGTCGACGCTGACGGCCATAAGCGTGATCCTACTTCTCGTCATTGTGTTGGGCCTGAGATACAAAGAAATTGTAACTTTGAGGCTCATGTATATCAATTTAGCTATCGTTTGGGTTGTATGTCTAGTCGCTGGTTTATTCTTTCATCTCAATTACCGTATAACCTTTTGGAAAAGCTTTAGGGGTTTATCATTTTATAATTACCTAGTAATCTGAGCCGCCTTGTTCACAAAGATTTTCCGCGCTCTCGGTCATCATCAGGCTCGAGTACAAGATCATTTTTAACAACAAGCGAACGAAACAAATGCACCGAAAATGGAGTGATACAGAAAAGTAGTGTACAATGAACTGTAGGTGCAGGTAGCATTAGTTGTCTGTTATGCACCAAACTTAACAGCAGAAATTGTGATATCTTTGAGTTTAAACCGATTATCGAATTTCATCAAAATCATCATTACCATTTGCTACAATGGCGAATGTTTCAGTTTTTTTAACTTCACTTTAAACCCGTTTCTTTACCACTGGAAGATCAAAGATACAAGATAAGCACTAAAGCAGACAATCAGACAAGCAATTCGCCATGCATACGTTTCGACCTATTTTGCCGTTTAAATGTTCTGTTTCTTCCAAAGCTATTTATGGCCGTTAGGAGAGATTTGATAAAAAAGATTAAAGAAAACTATAAAGAGCTACTTCTAATTTCTATATTGTATTCAAGTTATCTTAAGAACAACAGAAAGCTAAAAAATCCTACTTTGGTAAATATATTACAAGAATATCGTGTTCCGCATTCGCACACTTATAGTGAAGCAGTTAAGACTATTCCTTTCAAGCAGAGTACGCTCATGATTTTGCTGTTTTGTCAAAACTGGACGAGATATGTCATTTTGGCTTAGAGATACGGTTAAGTGTTAATGAATAGTAACAGGACCCACAGGCTCGATTTATTGATAACAGAACTTTTTAAATATGTAGACTTATAGAGTTTATTTTGAGGACAATTCTCAGAAAATGAGTCGCTGAATTCTGACAAGTCCTGAAATCACAGCATAAGCTGAGCACTTCGTCATCAATCAGTAGCTTTCAGTGAAGGTTTTCCTAAGTCACGCACTGATGTTTTCACAATTTCTTTAGAAACAATGGTCACAGGGAGTATAAATTTGTCCCTGTTATACGATACCATATCCAAATTGTCGTTTACTAAGTTGATAATCAGGTAACTAGGACAAACAGCATCGTTCAGGAGCAAACTTAAACTTAGAACCAGAGATAATTTGCGCAACAAAAAAAAAAAGTATTTTGTAAGTGGAATATTTGAATTCCTTGTTTGTAACTATGGATAACCTGCAAAAGAGTCCATTATTAATGGCGTTTAAAAAAATAAACGGTTCACCGCTAAATCTATTTTCAAACTTTTTAGGACATAAAGGCAGAGTTCATTGCAGTTTTGATCGGTAGAGAGATCGTCATTATCTCAAAGTTCCAGTAAGGTGCGATACGCAGTGAAAAAAGAAGAAAAATGCAAATATATTAGAGGTAACTATGCATCTGTAAACATACATTAATTTTAAATAGTTTTATGTAATCTAGCTTTATTCTTCCCAATACCGATATTTTTAGAATAACTTTGCATCTGCAACCTGTGTTAGATTTGAAATTTGAATTTTGTTATCACTTTCATTGGGCTGATAACAATTCATGGCGTCCCAAGATCATGTGAATTAATAATTCAACCTACTATCCGGGTAAGTTAACGAATCTGATCGAAACAACACGTCGGCCAATGCGTTGGTCAAAGCGTCGGCCGACAATCGGTCGACTGTCGATCGACTGTCGGTATCCTATCACTGAATGTTTATTTAGGTGAAGAGGTTTTTGTGTTGCATTGAAAATTAACCTATTACAAATGCAGTTTTACTTTCCCCTTATTACTAATTCAAATTCGCGCAGAAAAAGTGCCTTTTTTTTTCTCTTGCGTGTGACAACCTCACAGCTTTCGGGAATTTTACATAGTCAGACGCTACTGATGAATTTTTATTCTCTGTGATTGCTATTCAAAAACTAAGGTTTGACTGATCTTGACTTGAAGGGAGCTGTTAGAACGAAATATCCCTTGTTTGTAGCTAAGGATAACCTGTAAAAGAGTGGAAACGACAGCAGGATGATGGCGACAACAAATGTAACAGGAAGTGGAACACAGACGAATACATTTCAAAGATTGCTATGCTCCCCGTTGTGGGTAGGTGAGTCAAAACAACAGTCCCTTTCATTCTTAACAATCAACATTTTCCTCTCCATCACAGCAACTCTTGGGAATTGTATCATTCTTGTTGCCCTTCACAAGGAATCTTCCCTCCATCCGCCATCCAAACTCTTATATCGTTGTCTGGCAACAACTGATCTGTTGGTTGGTCTTGTTACCCAGCCTCTCTATGCTGCCTACTGGATGTCCGTGGTTCACGAACACTGGAGTCTTTGTCGATACGCAAGGGACGCATCGTACATATCAAGCTATGCGTTATGTGGAGTGTCTTTGTTAACGATGACGGCTATAAGCGTGGACCGACTTCTCGCCATGTTGTTGGGACTGAGATACAGAGAGATTGTAACTTTGAGGCGTACACATATCATTTTAGCCATCGTTTGGGTTGTATGTGTAATCGCTGGTTTATTCACACATCTCAGTTACCGCATAAGCCTTTGGTGTAGCTTTATAATTACACCATCTTGCTTAGTAATCTCAATCGCCTCGTACGCAAAGATTTTCCGCGCTCTCAGTCATCATCAGGCTCAAATACAAAATCATGTTCAACAACAGCCGAGCCAACCAAGTGCTCTGAACATGGCGCAATACAGAAAGGCAGTGCACAGTGCACTATGGGTGCAGTTAGCTTTAGTTGTCTGTTATATTCCACAATTTACAGTGGAAATTAGGATCTCTGTAGGTAAAAATCGATTTTCGAATTTCAGTATAATCAATGGAGTGGCAAATGTCTTAGTGTTATTTAACTCTACTTTGAACCCGTTCCTTTACTGCTGGAATATAAGTGAAGTGAGAAGAGCAGTAAAGCAGACAATCCGACAAGCAATCTGCTACGCATAGCGGTAGACCTATAGTTTAACACTGGCATGTACTGCTTTTCTATAACTTATTTGGAAATTGTGATATCTTTGAGTTAAAACCGATTATCGAATTTCATCATAATCAGGGGCATGGCGAATGTATTAGTTTTCTTTAACTCGACTTAAAACCCGTTTCTTTACTGTTAATTTTAAAAGCACCTTTATTACCAAACTCGAATATTCAAGAAGATTACGTGACTCTGTCACAGGCTGTGTACACACAGCTGGTCTTATGAAAAAATATTTTCATATAATGACAATCAAGAGCGAAAAATGCTAACACGCGCTCTTGAGTATCTACCATTGCTCCTAATTAAAATGGTTTGTATGACAGCTCACTCGCTTGAATTTCATCTGATGATCAAAGAATGATTTATGTCATTAAAGTTCTGAAAACATGAATAAGTGTAATTGAAGGAATAGGTCTTAAGTTTAAAAACTAGTACGCTCTAACCTCTTTTGTGTGGTTTCCTTTAACGCTTCCCTGTCGTCCTCAGGACTGTTGCGAATATCAAGGAATAAATAACAGGTTGTGCGCAAATTTTTTGATGAGTAAATAATATAAAAAAAAGATAGGGTTGCCGTAAATGTCACAAATGAAGGTATATCTCATAGATAAAACAAGAATCAAATAAATTTGGTCAGTGATGTTTAAAAGTTCAGAATTATTTATCAATCGAAATGATTTCCGACCGCGATTTCTGGCTATCTTAGACTTATGTTCTAAAATACTTCAGAAGACTCTAAAAATATTTGTATATTTACTGTCTTGCTGAGTCATGAGCTAAGCCAGGCAAACCAAGCTGAAACTGATCTTTTAATAGAATATGATAAAGTGATGTAGAATGTCCCAGGCTGTTAAACATTTCTCTTTAAGTGGAGCTCATATTTAGTTGCTGTTGTTATCACTATCCTTTTCCAAGCATTCATTTAGTAAAACGGGGCGAAATGGTATAAGGCACGATACCCACAATAGAGTGATAAAACGGGGGAGTGTTGGGTCGGATCGGGTTGGGTGAAAGCCGTTCTTTACCCGACTCGACCCAAGCCCCACTTTTTTTTTGCTCCGCCGTGACTATCGCGCCGTTAACTGGGCACTTTGTTTTACTAGCTGAACGCCTCAAACAGGCTGTGTTATCACTCAATAAGCTGTCAAAAAAAAAGCTGTGATGCAGAATACAAGAGACTAAAACCTAGAATGAGGAATTGAGAGACAAAATAAATGCAATCATCTGTCGTATACATAACAACTTTAATTTTTACTACGGTAATGTTTTGCAATCAAATAATTACTAACACAAAAAATTTAATTCATCTTACTGAATTTTTTATTAAGCAAACAATGTAATTTTTAAATTGGACTTTATTTCTAAGTTTTCTTAAGCTGTTAACAATTCATGGCGTCTCAAGATCACGTACATTAATTATCCGGATAAGGGAACAATTCCTATCCAAACAACACGTCAGCCGCTGAATTGATCAAGGCGTCGGCCGGCGGCAATTTGTCGACTATCGACCAACTATCGGTCGAATTTCGATATCCATCACTGAAGGTTTACTTGAGTAAAGAAGTTTTTTTTTCTTATGTTTTGTAAGGAAATTAACCTATCACAAATGCAGTTTTACTTTCCCCTTATTACTAATTCAAATTCGCGCAGAAAAACCGGCTTTTTTTCCTCTTTCGTGCCACAAACCTCACAGCTTTCGGGCGTTTTACAAAGTCAGACGCTACTGACAAGTTTTTACTCGCTGCAATTGCTATTCAAATCTAAATTTTAACTGATCTTGACTTAAAGGGTGCTGTAACGACAAAATATTCCCCGTTGTAACTGAGGATAACGTACAAAGGGGTAAAACGACAGCAAGATGACGGCGATCACAATAATAACGGGAAATGAAACACAGACGAAAACGTTTGAAGGATCAGAATGCTCCTTGGTTTGGGTAGGTGAGTTTAAACAACAGTCCGTTTCACTCTCAGCAGTCAACATTCTCCTCTCCATCACAGCAACTCTTGGGAATTCGCTCATCCTCGCTGCCCTTCACAAGGAATATTCTCTCCATTCGCCATCGAAACTCTTGTATCGTTGTCTGGCAACAACTGATCTGTTGATTGGTCTTGTTACCCAGCCTCTCTATGCTACTTATTGGATGTCCTTGGTTCACGAACACTGGAGTCTTTGTCGATACTCAAATTATGCAACCGGCGTAACAGGCTATGTGTTATGTTTAGTTTCATTGTTGACGCTGACGGCCATAAGCGTGGATCGACTTCTCGCTCTGTTGTTGGGACTGAGATACAAAGAGATGGTAACTTTGAGGCGCACGTATATCATCTTAGCTATCTTTTGGGTTGTATCTCTATTCGTTGGTTTATTCTTACTTCTCAATAATCATATAACCCTTTGGTGCGGCTTTATAATTACATTATCTTGCCTAATTACTTCCATTGCCTCATACAGAAAGATTTTCCGCGCTCTCAGTCTTCATCAGGCTCAAATACAAGATCACGCTCAACAACAGCCACGCCAACCAAATGCATTGAACATGGCGCGATACAAAAAGGCAGTGTTCAGTGCACTATGGGTGCAGTTAGCTTTAGTTGTCTGTTATGTACCACACACTGCAGTGAAAATTGTGAGCTTTCTTAATACAAAGCGATTTCCGAATTTCATCATCATCCAGGGAATGGTAATTGTCTTAGTGTTATTTAACTCTACTTTAAATCCGTTCCTTTACTACTGGAAGATACGTGAAGTGAGACGAGCAGTAAAGCAGACAATCAGACAAGTAATCTGCTATGCATAAAGACGTGTTTTAACGTTGGCATGGACTGTTTCTTCTGTAGCGTATTTGAAAAGTTCTGATTATTAGAAGAGAGAGGAGAAGATATGCCATTTCGTGGTAAAAAGAGTGAGGAAAAATTTAAGAGCTACCTCTAAATAGTATATTGTATTCGAATTATCTAACGAACAACTAACAGGTGAAAAATTGTAGTTTAGTAGCCATAAAAAAGTAACCTGTCTCCAATTTGCGCATTTGTAATGAAGCAGTGAGGCCTATTATTTTGGAATCAGAATGCGCTCGGGATTTTGCTTTGCGATCAAAACTCGATGAGATGTGTCACCTTAGCTCAGAAATATGGTCTCAAAATAATGTGCAGTTAATTTGTTGCTCGATTTTGCCATGATTTGGAGTTAGCCATAGTGTTTTTAACGAAAGATTGTAAATTAATTAAAGATGCGGACTTTGTTAACATCTGTTCAAATAGACAGAAGGAAATGCTCAGAAAGGAAGTTGATCATCTCTATTTCAGATAGAGGTACTATTTGAGACCAGTCGTTTGCCTAAGATTGAGCTCGTAAATTATAACAGGAGAAATTTATTAGAAGAAATGATTAAAAAAAAAAACCCTGACTAATTGAAAAGCCTGGCGGTTTTTTAGCATGTTAATTAAAACTGTTCATTGAGCTGCCTCGTGAGTCCACAACATTTTGACCACTGTCATGACGAATATCGTCGTCCATTTGTTAAATGGAGAGTTTTTGCTAACAGCACCGTTTATTATTAGAACCTAAAATTATATTGTAAATAGTTGACGTGGATTTGCAGAAAAAATAAATATCCAAATAGATATTACCACTAGATCTATTTTCAGACTTTCAGGGCATAAAGGCAGAGATCAATGCTACTGAATCGGTAGATAAATATTTTCTCAAAGTTCCAGTGAGGTGTGACACGTAGAGAACAAAGAACATAAATTAAAACATTTTTAGAGGTAACTATGCATCTGTAACCATACATTTATTTTGAATAACTTTATGTGATCAAGTTTTCCCTTTTCTCTCAATATAGATTAAAGTTTCCAAAAAAGGCTTTTTACGTTCAAATACAACTAAGATAATTCACGGCGCCTTTAGATAAACCACCTTATTAATGAAAGTCTGATTGAATAAATAGGGTCTTTTTGTTGTTGTATGGTGAAATAATTCTATTACTTTGCCTGCACCTTGTTGCTAATTCAAAGTCGCAGAAAAACCTGACCCTTTTTTTTAATTTTTCGTCTGACACACAGAGAGCTTGTTTGGGCATTTTACATAGGCAAACGCTACTGATGAAGTATTTATGTAACTAGTATTCGAAAAGTGAGGTTTGACTGATCTTGACTTTACTGCTGATAAGATAAGTGAGGGGAGACGAGCAGTAAAGCGGACAATCAGACAGGCAATCTGCTATGCGTAGAGGTAGACCTATCTTAGTTTTGGCATGTACTATTTCTTTCATGGTTAACTTGGAAGAACTGCTTCCAAATAGTATATTGTATTCAAATAATCTAAAGAGCAACCAACAGGTGAAAAATTGTAGTTTAGTAGCCATGACAAAACATAACATCTCGCCAATTTGTGCATTTGTAATGAAGCCTATTATTTTCAGTGGGAATCAGAATGCGCTCAGGGTTTTGCATTGCGATCAAAACGTAATGAGAATGTCACCTTAGCCCAGAAATATGGTCTCGTGATAACGAGCTGCTAAAGGAGCCAGCCACTTGATTTTTTCATGATGAGGAATTAGCCATAATGTTTATAACGAAACTTTGTAAATTAAAGATGCGGACTTTGTTAACATCTGTTGCAATACACAGAAGGAAATGTTTAGGAAAGAAGTTGATCATCTCTATTTTTTTTACATAAAGTTATCGTTTGAGACCAATCAATTGCCAAAGATTTCGCTCGAAAACTATAGCAGAACAAAATTATCATGAGAAATGGTTTAAAAAACACTAACATGTTTATAAGATTAACTAGCTGTTTTTCAATACGTTACCAACATCGATTAATCCTCTTTATTGAGTGCAGATTTGGGGTCCTTAGAAAGTTATCCATACATTTCTTTGAACAGGTAGTTTTAGAAGCAGTTTTATCTCCAAATTCGAATATTCAAGAACATTTCGTGACCTTGTATACAAAGCTGGTCTTAAGAGGAAACACTCTCTCATTTCAATGACAATCGAGTACAAAAGGTGTTAACGCCCCCTCTTAAGTACCTACCACTGCTCCTAATTAAAAAGGTTTGTATGACAGCTCCCCACTGCAAGGATCATTTTCGCGCTTAAATTTCATCTCATGGTCAAAAAATGATTTAATGTCATTAAAATTCTGGAAAAAAAAAAAGGAGAGAGAGCGAGAGAGAGAGAGAGAGAGGGAGAGAATCTAATTATTATGGAAGGCGTAAAAATTTGGTTCAAAAACTATTACGCTTTAACCTCTTTTATGTGGATCCCTTTAACGCTTGCCTTTCGTCTTCGAGGCCGTGACAAATATTGCGGAATGAATGGCAGGTTGTATGCGAAGTTTTGATCAGTAAATGATTTGAGGAAGTAGCCATAAATGAAGATATATTTCATCAATAAAATGAGAATCAAATCAATTTTATCAGCGATGTTAAAAAGTTCAAACTTATTTATCGTTCGACTGATTTCCTACTGTGATCTCTAAATATCGTAGACTTCTGTTCTAAAATACTCCAGAAAATTTCAAAAATGCTCCTTTATTTACTCTGTCTTGCTGAGTCACGAGCTAAGACAGGTCAAGACAGGCAAGCCAAGCTGAAACTGATCTTAAAGAAGAATTTGATGAAATGACGTACTATGTTCCAGGCTATAAAAGTGCTTATGACACGAATTTTTTTTTCTGATTTATATTTGTATTGAGGATTAAACATAATCGACCATAGCGTTTAGCGAGTTCTCCTTGACCATTTGTTTGTGTATTGAAAGTGCGATTTGGCGTCCATTTTAGCGCGCGGCTAAATTAAGGATCATGTTACCTAGCTGTGAAGTAGAAAACCGTGAAGACCGTCGGCAATTATGGTGGAGAAAGGAGAAATCTAGGAGAAAAGACAAACTTATTGCGTGCCTGGAGCGCCAAATGATGTTAGCTACAAAAATAATACACATATACTGGGTATTTCTGTACACTACTTTCCAAAGGATATGTATGGCCAAATGGATGCGTTTCGATCATCGACATCGAGGAGACTTAACTCTTCAATGTCGCCGGCCTTTTGCTCCGCAACGGCTTCGAAGACGCCTTTATGTTATGAACACGTACCATTAGCGGCAGCGGTGGAGTGGTAAAACGGGGGAATTTTGGGTCGGGTCGGTCGGGTCAAGTGAACGCCGCTTTTCACCCAACTCGACCCAAGCCTCACTCTTTTTTCGCTCCGCCGTGACCATTGCACCGTTTACTGGGCTCTTTTTTGTTTTACTAGCTGAACGCCTCAAACAGGCTGTGTTATTACTCAATAAGCTGTTTGTTAAACCTGTGATGCGGACTACGAGTGACTGCTCCAGATATTTTCCTCGAGACAGTAGTGCAGCAACTTATTACAAAAGAGGAATCGTGAGCTAGAAAAAATGAATGAAATCACCTGTTGTTTACACAACAACTTTAATTGTTACTACGGTAATGTTTTGCAATCAAATAACGATTCAACAAAAAAAAAACCTTACCTAACTAAATGGTTTATAATGCAAACAATATTTAAAAAGGTTATGCTTTTCGCCTACGAAGTGACTGATATTTTTTATTCGGTAGCATAACTGTATTGTAGAAAAAAGCTAGTATAGTTTCTCGAAAAAACAAAAGCAAAATCTTGGCTAAAATAACATGGTATTGGTCACTATAGATTAATCCAAAGGAAGTCTTTGAGTGGCGATCTCTGTAAGAGCGGTCCAGGGTATTTCGAATCGGAAAAAAGTTTTCCCTCAAACTTTGCCCGATAAACTATCTTTGGTTGCAAGTAAATAAAACCACATTAGTTTCTGGAAATACGTTAAAATAAAATTTTTAAAGCTCTCAAAAGTCAAAGCTGCTAAAGGCCCTTTTTTGACCTCTTGCGACATCGAAAATTTCCAAAGTTGAATACCCTGGTCCTCGTATCACACCGCATGCAGCAAAAAATCTTTTGTATTTTTAATCTGTGTGATATGTTAGGTGAATAAAAAGTATTTCAATTTTGATATTTGTTTGTTCAGGGGTTCGTCATAATTTATTTAAAAACACTCGTTAAACAGCTTTCTGAAATTGGTCAAAAGTACTCTTTCTTTCTTGGTTGATATTGCTCAAGTCCAGACCAGGCCATTGAAAACTCCGCTTGATTTCCTCTAATAAGATGTTTGGCTGCAGAAAAATATAAAAACATCTTGCACTTATTAATTTTGTTCGCTGCGGTGGCTTCAAACTTTCAGCGATTTTGCTAGCGTGACAGCCGATTATGCAAATTAGTTCATTGAACAAACTCCGACCGTTTTATATAAGTAGCTCAATAAGTCTTAGATTTTAACCATTTTAAGTTGAAGTTGTTTTAAGTTAAAAGATAGTAGGACAGAGCTTTTAGACTACACCGATTGATACTCTAAACATTTCAAAAGGCCAGAATTTGACAAATTTTACCCTCTCGTGACCAAAGACGTTAACAACAATGCATCGAATATCATAAATTGATTAGCGCTTGCTTAACATTTTTTTTTATTAGCAAACTCTTTCTTAAAAATTTGGCTTCTGCTATTTCATGCATATTTGAGTTCTGACAGCTTATGCTATTCAAATCGGTATGAACATTTCAGAGCCAAACTACAGGATTCTATTTAGTGTAACCGTGAACAGTGACTCTGTCACGTAATTCGATTGTGTAATTATCTTGAATCGCTTCTCCCTTCTAAATAAAGCAGCGATAACATCATTTTTTGGATCAAAATTCTAATCGGCACGAATAAGAGAAAGTCTGTCTGCACACCTGTCTTTGAG